TTTCTCATAATGGCCTTAGTCAGTGAACAGGGCCAAAGGCCTTCCTCATAATGGTCATAATCAGGGAACAGGGCCCAAAGCCTTCCTCACAATGGTCATAGTCAGTGAACAGGGCCCAAATCCTTCCTCACAATGGTCATACTCAGGGAACAGGACCAAAAATCCTTCCCCATAATGGCCATAGTCAGGGAACAGGGCCCAAACCCATCCTCACAATGGTCACAGTCAGGGAACAGGACTCAAAGCCTTCCTCACAATGGTATCAGTCAGGGAACAGGGCCCAAAGCCATCCTCACAATGGTCATAGTCAGAGAACAGGGCCCAAATCCTTCCTCACAATGGCCATAGTCAGGGAACAGGGCCCAAAGCCATCCTCACAATGGTCACAGTCAGGGAACAGGACTCAAAGCCTTCCTCACAATGGTCACAGTCAGGGAAAAGGGCCCACAGCCTTCCTCACAATGGTCATAGTCAGGGAACAGGGCCCAAAGCCATCCTCACAATGGTCATGGTCAGGGAACAGGGTCCAAAGCCTTCCTCACAATGGTCATAGTCAGGGAACAGGGCCCAAAGCCTTCCTCACAATGGTATCAGTCAGTGAACAGGGCCCAAAGCCTTCCTTACAATGGTCATAGTCAGTGAACTGGGCCCAAAGCCTTCCTCATAATGGCCTTAGTCCGTGAACAGGGCCCAAAGCCTTCTTCACAATGGTCATAGTCAAGGAACAGGGCCCAAAGTCTTCCTCATAATGGCCTTAGTCAGTAAACAGGGCCCAAAGCCTACCACACAAAGGTCACAGTCAGGGAACACGGCCCAAATCTTTCCACACAATGGTCACAGTTAGGGAACAGGGCCCAAAGCCTTCCTCACAATGGCCATAGTCAGGGAACAGGGCCCAAATCCTTCCACACAATGGTCACAGGCAGGGAACAGGACCCAACGCCTTCCCCATAATGGCCATAATAGACTTTTGGATAAAGCTCACACAACCTAGAAAATCTATCAAAATTTTATGAAATTTTCTAATATCTAATGACGTTGTTTATTTTCATGCAACAACGAATTAGCGTTAGCCTGTTGTACATTAATCGTGTTTCTGTACCAACTTTAATGCACAGAGAGGTCAATGTGTTGGGACAGCAAATTTGGAACCAGAACTGGTCGGATACTTTACTTGCTTGAGACTGAAAGAACACTGGAGGTGTCTTACAAAAATCAAGCCATATCGTTTAAAATACGGTTAAAGTTTAGACGAGTTAATGAGAACATAAAACAGAGCATCGCTCGGGGAATACCATAATTATATCGCACATACGGGCTCGTAGGTGTTTGCTGTAGTCTTTAGTCGATATAGGAAACAAACTGCCGGAAAAGTCCTAGGGACGCCGAAGCTGTTAACCAAGCACGTAAATATTGAATATAGTTACTAATTTCCATAGCTAGTATGCGAAGAAAAGTGTACTAGATAAGATTAAACGCCAAGTTCATAGAACTGACAAACAAATGTGATTTTCACTGTAATATCGCGAAGACGCCGAAGTGTCTCAGATACCTTAAGATGTGGGTGTTTAATTACTTCCTCTGAAACATCGTAATTTCTCTAGAACGCAGACTGCAGATGTCGTTATATAAACGAGATAGAAACAGACTCAATTTTAACTGTGATTTGAGTTTTAATAATGACGAACGCCACAAACATTTTAATCTTCTTAATAGACATCGATTATCTCAATTCTTAATCACGTTTTGTCGTGATGAATCACTAATGAACATGCTATTGAAAGATTTTCTCTCCGTGTCTAAAAAAAGACTCATTCTAATATTACTTGTTCGGATAGGATAACGAAACTTATATATATATATATATATATATATATATTAAAATAACTTAAAACAATACTTTAATGCTTAATTCGACATGTTGTTTTAAGTTATTCTAATATATTTCACCGGACACTGAGAATTCAACTTTTATATCTATCTTTGTTTCTAAAATAGTATGTACTGAAATAAAGATATATATTTATAAATATGTATCTTTACTTCAATACATACTATTTTAAATACACAAATGAAGAACACTTTCTAAGTTCAATATAAATTTAGGATTAGATACAATAAAATCAAATGATAAAAGCATCATACACTTGCTGTTTCATCCTTCTGTGATTTGTCCGTGATGCTACATCAAACAGCAGTTTAATCTTTCTAGGACTCGTCAGTGATGCTACATCATACAGCTGTTTCATATTTCTAGTACTCGTCAGTGATGCTACATCATACAGCTGTTTCATCCTTCTATGACTAGTCAGTGATGCTACATCATACAGCTGTTTCATCCTTCTAGGACTCATCAGTGATGCTACATCATACAACTGTTTCATCCTCCTATGATTTGTCAGTAATGCTACATCATACAGCTGATGCTACATCATACAGCTGTTTCATCCATCTAGGACTCATTAGTGATGCTACATCATACAGCTATTTCATCCATCTAGGACTCATCAGTGATGCTACATCATACAACTGTTTCATCCTCCTATGATTTGTCAGTAATGCTACATCATACAGCTGATGCTACATCATACAGCTGTTTCATCCATCTAGGACCTATCAGTGATGCTACATCATACAGCTATTTCATCTATCTAGGACTCATCAGTGATGCTACATCATACAGCTATTTCATCCTTCTAGGATTTGTTAATGATGCTACATCATACAGTGTTTCTTCCTTCTAGGACTCGTCAGTGATGCTACATCATACAGCTGTTTCATCTTTCTAGTTGTCAGTGAGAACTTGAAACTATATTTGTTGAAACCAAGGCGACTGAGACATTTCACAATTACTCGACACAGAGTCCAAAACAAATATTTGTGTTTCTGTTTCCGACCATAATTTTTTCGATATTGACAATAAATTATCATAAAATCTCCGTCTTGATTTTGCTGATATTGTGGGATTTTTTTGTTTTTGTTTTTTTTTTTTTGTTTTTTGTTTTTTTGCGATCGCTAGCAACGCTAGTATCTTGAGACAAATTCACCTTGGATACTTAAAACGTACATATATTTATACAGTCCGACATCACACTTTCGATACCTATCTGGGAAGATAGTGGTCGCCATGTCATCATCGGTCCTGGTGATAAAATTTATATAATGCACACACATTCCTGAAAACACGAACTTTCTCTAAAAGCAAAGGCGAGATCAAGTCTTCCAGAGAAGCATACAACTTATGATTTAAAGATTTAAAAACAACTTTTACTACTGAATGTGATAAATCATTATACTATGGCAGATATTGATCTAACTTCTGTTTTGTTTTACAGTTATTTCCTCTGCAAAAAAGTTGTGTTGCAAAAAAGTACAAATGAGTCCATCTGTTCAGAACTTTATAAACACAACTCCTCCTACACTGTTTGATGAAATTTCATTGAAACTCGGCACACGATGATACAGTAAAGACTATCACATTCAAACATTCAAAATAGCCTCACATACTGTGATATTAAGCATGATAAATATCCCTTAGTACACAAATGAAACGTACACCTGATAAACTGGTATCTATAAGGGCCTTCCCTAATCAATATGCGGACCTTCAGAAGTCAGTGTTAGAAGCAAACATTATCAAAGTAAATTGATAAATGAATAGTAAAACACACTAATGTTTTAAGTGAAAACAGAACACAGATTTATGTCGTATTTCTTTATACATGAACACTGTAAGTATACCGCTTAAAGTGACTAAGTACTTCAACATGTAAAACACGTGATGAAAATGGTGTACATTCTGTTAATAACATTGAAACTCAAAGAATTTTAAACAGAAAAGATGATTATAAATAGATGTATGTATGGAAGGTGTCCTAGGTGATTATATATAGATGTATGTGTGGTAGGTGTCCTAGGTGATTATGTATAGATGTATGTGTGGTAGGTGTCCTAGGTGATTATGTATAGATGTATGTGTGGTAGGTGTCCTAGGTGATTATGTATAGCTGTATGTGTGGTAGGTGTCCGAGGTGATTATGTATAGATATATGTGTTGTAGGTGTCCTAGGTGACTATGTATAGATGTATGTGTGGTAGGTGTCCTAGGTGACTATATATAGATGTAGGTGTGGTAGGTGTTTCAAATCTTTGCTGAGTGTGGCGCATAACTCTGCCTCGATGAGGTGAGGGAGACCATCAAAGGAACGAGCGATTAACATTAACACTAGGCAATGGCGGTTTATTTTCTCAACAACAAGCATGCGCAGTTACATATGGGTAATACTAACTACCGGATTGTCCGGAACCAAATACAACCATGTTACATCCTTTCTCCTTTCAAGAACTGAACTTACAACAGAAATTAAAAGAATTTAGTTAATCTTATGACTTCTGTTATTATTATGAACATTTGCATAAATTGACTCACTGACTAGCATCAATAAATTTGTTATAACACTAATTACTGCTTGTAATTAAATTTGAGTGTAATAATTCATTTAAGACAGTCTCTGGATAAAATGTCTCTGCACTATTTCACTATAACAGTTCTTGATTCAGTTAACACATATGAAATAATTCAGGAAAATGTTCCATAAAGTGTCAGGGCTGGTCGTTTAGTTTATACGACTATTACCAAAAAATGAAAAGTTAATAAATTTCAACGATTAACTGAAATATTAGAATTGAACGCGATAACTTCTTGTTATTGCACAAATCAGTCACTTATTATCTACAACATAGTCTCTGAGCCTCGATGGTTGGCTGATGTGCCTTCCTGAGCGTGTCACAGTTCCAGTAGGTGTGTTAACTGTTGGTGGTAGTGTATCCGACTCATCAGGTGGTTTCTCAGGTGGCACCACATGTGGTTCCAAAGGCACTTCCTGTTCCGGAACACAATTTTCCTCCATAATGTCTCTGTCCTGGATGACAGGGTTACCAGTGGACAACCGTAGATGACGACGATTGCGACGATACTTTCGTCCATCATCGTGATGACATCATACGACCTTGTGTTCCTGTTGGACAACACCCTTCCTCCATTCTTTGTGCCTCTCCTGTGGTGCGATTCGGACAAATTGACCAGTTTCTAAAGGTTTTAAGTCTTTAGCACCTTGGTTGTAGTAGAAGGCTTGGCGTTCTTTCACTCCCTTTAGCTGATTTGTGACGGTAGTGTTTTCTGGGACTTGAGGTCTCAGCAAACTGCCTTTTGTTGGAAGGAGTGTCTTGGTTCTCCTATTCATCAGACGTTGTACGGGACTGCTTCCCATCGATTGTGATGGAGTGTTCCTAAAATCTAGCAGAGCCAGATATGGATCGGTTTTGGATGACAATGCACGTTGCATCAGGCGTTTCGCAGTTTTGACTGCTTGCTCTGACTTCCCGTTACTCTGAGGATATCCCGGTGAGGATGTGATGTGTTCAAAGCTCCAATCCTTTGTGAATTGATGGAATTCGTCGGAACTATATTGAGGTCCGTTATCAGTTACCAGTGTGTCTGGTATGCCATATCGCGCAAACTGTTTCCGCAACGCGTGTACAACTGTCGATGTCTTGGTATCCTCTAAATGGTCTACCTCCCAGTAGTTAGAGTAGTAATCTACAGTTATAAGGTACTCCTTATTGTTGAATGTGAACAAATCTGACCCTAATTTGGCCCATGGCCTGTCAGGGATTTCGTGCGACACTAAAGTCTCCTTCGACTGTTTCGCGTCAAATGTACGACATACATCACACCTTTCGATGTATTCTCTGATTTCTGCATTCATTCCTGGCCAGTAAACTGTTTCGCGTGCTCTCCGCAGACATCCTTCTATACCAATGTGTGACGAGTGAATCTTGGCTTTGATGTCGCGTCGCAGCGAAAACGGAATGACAGCACGTTCTCCTCGAAAGATAATGCCGTTTTGTAAGGAAAGTTCGTCTCGTACATTGAAGTACGGTTGCGCTTGTATAGGCACAAGTGATCGTTTCTCTGACCATCCCTCCAAGATCACCTCACGCAGGATTTGGAGATTATCATCCTTTCCTGTTTCACGTTGTATCTCACGCAGTTTTGCCTCCGCAATAGGCATAAATTGTGCCATATTGATGGATTCTACATCCTGTAGGAAAGTAGATTCTTCCTCATCTTTGCTTATCGGTAAGTAAGCCCTACTGAGCGTATCGGCCAGATACATTTCCTTTCCAGGGTGATATGTGATGTTAAAATCATACTTCTGAAGGCGTAGTAACATACGCTGCAAGCGCTTCGGTGAGCTGTGGATCGACTTTTTGATGATCATTTCCAAAGGCTTGTGATCGCTCTGTACCAAAACGAATCGTCCATACACATAATGGTGAAACTTCTCTAGTCCAAAAACGACGGCTAATAGCTCTTTCTCGATCTGAGCGTAACGGGTTTCTACATCCGTTAAGGCGCGGCTAGCGTAAGCGATGGGTTGTCCATTCTGCATTATTGCTGCTCCTAGGCCCTTTTCCGAAGCATCACACTGAAGTGTTAGGTCCTCCTTCGGGTTGAAGTATTTGAGAACTGGTTTAGAGTTTACAAGATCTTTGATCTCTTTCATAGCTTTCTTGTGAGTGTCCATCCAGCACCATTCTGCGTCCTGGACAGTTAGTTTCCTCAATGGTTCACATTTGTCACTCAAACCTGGCATGAACTTACTAAGGTAATTAACAAATCCGATGAATCGTCGGACTCCAGCAATATCCGTTGGATCAGGCATCTCGGACACAGCTTTCACCTTTTCAGGGTCTGGCTTCAAGCCATCAGCAGTAATCAAATGACCGACAAATTTGACCTCTTTTCGACGTAGCTTGAGTTTGTCCTTGTTCAACTTGAGACCTCTCTCTCTACAGCGGTCCAGAAGAAGTAGTAGTTTACGATCATGGTCAACAATAGCCTCAGCCTCAGTCTCGCCTTCACCATACACCAGAATGTCATCAACAATGCTATGTACACCTGGCAGCCCTTCAACTGTCTGGTTTTGTCGACGTTGGTACTCCTCAGGCGCAGTGGAGATTCCAAAAGGCATCCTTAGCCACCTGTATCGTCCATAAGGTGTGTTAAAGGTGGTTAGTAGAGAGCTTTCCTCATCAAGTTCTACATGCCAAAAGCCACTGCGTGCATCTAGAACACTAAACACTTTGGCACGATGTAACTGGGGTAGAATGTCCTCAATGGTGGGTAGAGGGTAGTGGCTGCGCTTCAATGCTTTGTTGAGATCTTTAGGATCAATACATATTCTGATCTTTTCTGGCTTAACAACCATTACCATGCTCGATACCCAGGCTGTTGGTTCAGTGACAGGAGTTATCACATTCATAGATTCAAGTCTATCAAGTTCAGCTTTGAGTCTATCCCTCAATGCAATTGGGACCTTTCGTGGTGCATGTACCACAGGCGGTACAGTAGGGTCCACTACCAAATGGTATTTTCCTTCTAGTTTTCCGATCCCTTCAAACACATCCGAGTATCTCGTAGTGATGTCATTGTGTGTAAGAGTAGATGTCTGGGTGTCTTTGAGAGACAAAATATTCTCATGTTGGACCTTTATCAGCTCCATATCCTGCATTAGTTTGTTTCCAATCAAAGGTGTGACACAGTTCTTTGCCTTATAGCAGGCACCTGTCTTAGGGTTCAAAACCTCTAGTTCACACTTTCCTATAGGTGTGACTGTTGTCTTATTGAACATTTTGAGAATGCTCGTAGTGAGCTTTAACTTTGTGGACTCCGGAAGAAGTTCTTTAGGAATAATGTTACAAGTTGCTCCGCTATCAAGTTGAAAAAGCGTTTGTTTCCCTCCGATGTCAAGTGTAGCCCGTAATTCACGTGACACGTTCACCGTGTGTACATTTTCTTCTGTAAGTGTGTGTAGCTCAAAGTAGTCTTCTTCATGTCTACTGTTGTCTGACACATAGTTTACTTTCGGTTTAGTCTTGTTAGCCACATGATTTGTTGTTTTACTGCTACTGTGTCTCTGTTTTCTCAGTTCGTCACACTTTATTTCAAAGTGATTTGGGGAATTACATTTACGACAGCTCTGCCCATACGCAGGACACTTTTCCTTTTTGTGTTCATGTAACCTGCCACAAAACTTGCACGGTTGACCTTGTTGTCGTTTCACAGGCGTCGTGACGTTTGACTTTTTCTTGTGTTGTGTTACCTTGTGTACAGATACTGTTGCCATAGCACCGTCTAGTGTATTGACACTCTGTTTTGTAATTTCACTTGTTCTGCATAAAGCCTCGGCTTTATCAAGCGTAAGATCAGCAGTTCTCAGCAATCTTTCCCTCAACTGAGTGTCCCTGATTCCGCACACGATTTTATCGCGAATAAGTGAATCACAAAGTTCACCAAAATTACATGACTTTGAAAGTGTTTTTATGTCCGTGATAAACTTGTCAGTGGTCTCGTCTCCCTGTTTTCGGACGTTAAATTTGAACCTCTCCACTGTCTCATTTTTTTTCGGTTTGCAGTAATTTTCAAACTTTTCAAGTGCTATATTCACAGTGATCTCTTTCTCATCAACGTCCCATTTTAAAGTTTTGTATATTTCTCGTCCCTCGGAGCCAAGTATATACTTGAACATTTTGAGTTTTTCCTGCTCTTCTGCTCCCTTTAGAGCGAGTTCTGTGAACAACAGAAACTCTTCCCTCCATTTCGTCCAATCATCAGCGACTGTTTTGGTATTAAAATTCAGTGTATGTGGCGGGGGAATCCGTTCAAGCGCCATATTGTGCGTGGTGGCTAGTCTCGGGCCGGTCCACGTGGTTTCAAGGAAATCACAGTTCTATGTGTAAACAGTTCAACGACAAACCTTACTTGGCGTTGTTTCCGCACGCTGACACCATGTTTCAAATCTTTGCTGAGTCTGGCGCATAACTCTGCCTCGATGAGGTGAGGGAGACCATCAAAGGACAACGAGCGATTAACATTAACACTAGGCAATGGCGGTTTATTTTCTCAACTACAGGCATGCGCAGTTACATATGGGTAATACTAACTACCGGATTGTCCGGAACCAAATACAACCATGTTACAGTAGGTGTCCTAGGTGACTATGTATAGATATATGTGTGGTAGGTGTCCTAGGTGACTATGTATAGATGTATGTGTGGTAGGTGTCCTAGGTGACTATGTATAGATATATGTGTGGTAGGTGTCCTAGGTGACTATGTATAGATGTATGTGTGGTAGGTGTCCTAGGTGACTATGTATAGATATATGTGTGGTAGGTGTCCTTGGTGATTATGTATAGATATATGTGTGGTAGGTGTCCTAGGTGATTATATATAGATATATGTGTGGTAGGTGTCCTAGGTGATTATGTATAGATGTATGTTTGATAGTTGTCAATCAAAATTATAAAGACTCTTATCTGGGCGGATGTGATTTGTCATTATAGACGAATCATGGTAGGATTATTTTACAGATCCCTAAACTTAAGTAAAACCTTTTATCAACATTTGGAATGGTCTGTTGATATTGTCTGTGATTACTGCTCTGATGCTGTTATCCTTGGTGATTTTAATGTTGATTTGAAGCATCGTAACAGTAGGTTAGAAACCATAGCAACTAATCATAGTATTTTTAATGTTGTTACATAACCAGCTCAAGTTACTGCTGATACAGCAACACTTCCTGATCCAATCTTAATTACACCTAGTATTTAATATCCTCATAGCGGGTTTTCAAATTAGACAACACAATTGGTGACCATAAAGCATCTTTTTTTTAATTTGTCTTTCTCGCATAATCGCAAAACATCATATGTAATACATGTCTGGAACTTAGAAGCAGGGCAGATTATTAAGGTTCTAACGATCTGTTGGCGGCAATAGATTGAGAAGACCTCATTTGTAATGCACCTTCTATTGATCGTGGTGTTGGACATTTTGCTACAAAATATTTGGAAGTCACTAGTACTTATATTCCAATCAGTAATTATTCGTCCCTCCGATAAACCTTGGTTTGATATGGTTTTACGTAAACACTGTCGTACACATGACGGACTTAAACAATACTCAGTACGCTCTATACGTCCTGATCATCGGTCAGCATACAGAAACACAGTAAATAATATGAATAGAAAGCTAAGTCTGGCTTCTTTAATAATCTCGAATCATGTATTTATACATCGAAAAAAGGAAAATCCTCGTGCTTTCTGGCAAATTCTGAACAGTTTTTACCCATCTCCTGTTCCTGCTAAAATGGCACACAGTGACCAGGAAAAGGTTGAAGTCCAGAGTGTTTATTTCACTTCTTCTGTTTCATCTACTAACGATTCTAGTGTCACCTTACCAACCTTCTTTAGAAAATGCCAAAACTCTCTTTCCAGCTTTGTCATACATGAAAAAGAAATCTTTGATGTTCTACCCATTCTTGATATAGGAAAAAGTTGTTGGTCCAGACAAGATAAGTCATCGTCCAGCCAGAACAATTTCTGAGCCTCTTACTGTGTTGATTAACCAATATATCAGAGATCCTGCTTTCCCCTCGGATTGGAAAAAAACTCGTTTTACCATTATTCATTATTGTTGCTCATATTCTTTCAAATTATAAACCAATTTCTTTATTGAATTGTCTGTCTAAAATTATGAAATGTTGTGTGTATAAGCATATTCTTAACTTTGCTAGAGACAATGATATATAAGTATCAATCTGGATTCCTTCCAGGTCACTCTTGTGTTGTTTTTTTTTTTGTGGCTTGTCAAAAGCTTTCGACAAAATCTGGTATAAAAGTCTTTGTTCAAACTTCGTCAGTAAGGAATTGAAAGAAAAGCTATTATCTAAGTCAAATTTGGTATGCAATGGTGAGCCGATTGAGTTCAACGACTCACATCGTCATTTAGGAGTAACTCTTGGCAATAATTGCAAATTGGGAAACCCCATAAACCATTTTATCAATCAAATCCTCTTCCCAAAAAGTAAATGTTTTTTTAAAAAAAATTGAAGTATAAAGTAGATAAGTTTTATGCTATATACATAATTTATACGACCTGTGCTTGAATATGCCTCGTGTGTTTGGGATGAATGTTCGGAACACTTGTCCGACTCCCTAGAAAAAGTTCAGTTTGAAGCAACTAGAAACGTCTCTGGCCTCACATCCATTGCTTCCTGTGACTCTTTATATACTGAAACAGGTTGGAATCCACTTAAACAGAGAAGAGAGGAATCACGGCTTACCACTTTCTACAAAATACATAACAAAAACGTCCCTCTATACTTAGAAAGCTTGATACCGCTAATAGGCGTGACTTAAACACGGAGTTAAGAAATCCAGGCAACTATCAAGTCCCCTGAAGTCGTCTGGATATTATGAAAAAGTCTTGTGCTCCGTTGTCTATAAATTTGTGGGATAATTCAGACAGAACTACTAAATCGGCTGTATCACTAAAAACATTCAGAACCAAACTTTCCCGCAAGCATTATTCAGGTCCTGATTGTTAACATCCCATTAATCGATATCTCTCTGTTTTACATTGTCGAATTAAACACCACTGTTGTGGCTTGCGTTCAGATTTATATAGGGTAGGCATTTGCCAATCCCCGAATTGTCCGTGCGGTGATGGTATTGCAGACACAAGTCACTATTTCCATACATGATCATTCTTATCTTATTATAGACATATATTGTTTGATACTTTGTAAGATTTAGACGTAGATTTTAATATAGAAACTATTTTTATTATGAAACTAATTCTAATATTGTCAGATCTGTTCAAATGTTTATAAAACAAACAAAGCGTTTTAATACTACCTGATTCTGAACTGTTTGTCAATACTACCTGATTCTGAACTGTTTGTCAATACTACCTGATTCTGAACTGTTTGTCAATACTACCTGATTCTGAACTGTTTGTCAATACAACCTAATTCTGAACTGTTTGTCAATACTACCTGATTCTGAACTGTTTGTCAATACTACCTGATTCTGAACTGTTTGTCAATACTACCTGATTCTGAACTGTTTGTCAATACTACCTGATTCTCAACTGTTTGTCAATACTACCTGATTCTGAACTGTTTGTCAATACTACCTGATTCTGAACTGTTTGTCAATACTACGTGATTCTGAACTGTTTGTCAATACTACCTGATTCTGAGCTGTTTGTCAATACTACCTAATTCTGAACTGTTTGTCAATACTACCTGATTCTGAACTGTTTGTCAATACTACCTGATTCTCAACTGTTTGTCAATACTACCTGATTCTGAACTGCTTGTCTATACTACCTGATTCTGAACTGTTTGTCAATACTACCTGATTCTGAACTGTTTGTCAATACTACCTGATGATTCTGAACTGTTTGTCAATACTACCTGATTCTGAACTGTTTGTCAATACTACCTGATTCTGAACTGTTTGTCAATACTACCTGATTCTGAACTGTTTGTCAATACTACCTGATTCTGAACCATTTGTCAATACTTCCTAATTCTGAACTGTTTGTCAATACTACCTGATGATTCTGAACTGTTTGTCAATACTACCTGATGATTCTGAGCTGTTTGTCAATACTACCTGATTCTGAACTGTTTGTCAACACTACACTATTCTGAACTGTTTGTCAATACTACCAGATTATGAACTGTTTGTCAACACTACACTATTCTGAACTGTTTGTCAATACTACCTGATTCTGAACTGTTTGTCAATACTACACTATTCTGAACTGTTTGTCAATACTACCAGATTATGAACTGTTTATCAATACTACACTATTCTGAACTGTTTGTCAATACTACCTGATTATGAACTGTTTATCAATACTACACTATTCTGAACCATTTGTCAATACTACCTGATTCTGAACTGTTTGTCAATACTACGTGATTCTGAACTGTTTGTCAATACTACCAGATTCTGAACTGTTTGTCAATACTACCAGATTCCGAACTGTTTGTCAATACTACCAGATTCCGAACTGTTTGTCAATACTACGTGATTCTGAACTGTTTGTCAATACTACCAGATTCCGAACTGTTTGTCAATACTACCAGATTCCGAACTGTTTGTCAATACTACGTGATTCTGAACTGTTTGTCAATACTACCAGATTCCGAACTGTTTGTCAATACTACGTGATTCTGAACTGTTTGTCAATACTACGTGATTCTGAACTGTTTGTCAATACTACCTGATTCTGAACTGTTTGTCAATACTACCTAATTCTGAACTGTTTGTCAATACTACCTGATTCTCAACTGTTTGTCAATACTACGTGATTATGAACCATTTGTCAATACTACCTGATTCTGAACTGTTTGTCAATACTACGTGATTCTGAACTGTTTGTCAATACTACCAGATTCCGAACTGTTTGTCAATACTACCAGATTCCGAACTGTTTGTCAATACTACGTGATTCTGAACTGTTTGTCAATACTACGTGATTCTCAACTGTTTGTCAATACTACCCGATTCTGAACTGTTTGTCAATACAACCTAATTCTGAACTGTTTGTCAATACTACGTGATTCTGAACTGTTTGTCAAAACTACGTGATTCTCAACTGTTTGTCAATACTACCTGATTCTCAACTGTTTGTCAATACTACGTGATTATGAACCATTTGTCAATACTACCTGATTCTGAACTGTTTGTCAATACTACGTGATTCTCAACTGTTTGTCAATACTACGTGATTATGAACCATTTGTCAATACTACCTGATTCTGAACTGTTTGTAGTCGCCACTGGATTGATATAGATCTATATAATCTATTTTT